GGGAAGAGTTGTGCCTGGCAGTTGTTGAGTGGGGTCAGGCACAAGATGCTTGTTGGGAACATCAGCCTCCTCCCACTTGGCTCTCCAAAGCTGCTCCATGTTGGTGTTGTTATCTGGAGTGGAGGTCCATATGGGATTTCTTGATCTCAGTCTGAGTCTTGGGTGGTCGTTTATATCGGTGTTGATGGGGAGATCTGGCATTGACGCTATTCTGGTTAATAGGTTTCATGTGGCCATTTCTCTCCTGACATCTGGCGGGGGGATGTTACTTAGGACCGGGAGCCAGTCTAGTTTGGTGCATTGAACCACACCAGATACAGTCCTCATTGCGTTGTTCAGCTGGACATCGACTAGTTTGGTGTGAACAGAGTTTTGCCAGACTGGAGCACAGTACTCAGCAGCAGAGTAGCTGAGGGCGAGAGCCGTGGTGCGCAGGATCTTGGCTGAGGCTCCCCACGTTGTTCCAGCTAGCATGTTGAGGAGGTTATTCCTCGTCCTGACTTTCCCAGCTGTCTTAAGGAGGTGTGGCTTGAATGTCAGGGACCTGTCTAGCGTAACCCCGAGGTATGTTGGCTGGGCATCATGTTTGAGGCGAGCTCCATTGAGGAAGATGTCCAGTTCTTGTGAGCTCTGAGCATTGTGTAGGTGGAACACACTGGATACCGTCTTGGCTGTGCTAGGCTGAAGACGCCACCTCTTGCAGTACTCTCTGATGGTGATCATATCAGCGTTCAGGACAGCATTCAAGGCTGGGAACTGCTCTGATTGTGTTGCGATGCAGATGTCATCCGCATAGATGAACTTGCGACTGGTGGTCTGGGGCAGGTCATTAGTGTACAGGTTGAAGAGTGTGGGCGCTAGCACAGATCCTTGAGGAAGGCCATTTCTCTGGTGTCTCCAAGTGCTGTTAGCATCTGCCATATGGACACGGAATCGACGGTGTTGTAGCAACAGCTCGATGGCCTTCACTGCCCAGTGAGGCAGTACTCTCGCTATCTTCGTCAGCAAGCCCTTGTGCCAGACAGTGTCGTAGGCGGCAGTAAGGTTGAGCAGCACGACTCCAGTCTTCTTTATTAGTTGGTATCCGTTCTCGATGAAGGTGGTCAATGCAAGTACTTGGTCTTGTGTACTCCTTCCGGGTCGGAATCCCGCCTGGTCTACACTTAAAGTGTCCTCAACGGTGGGCTTGATACGCTGCAGAATGATCCGTTCCAGGAGCTTGTAGCACATAGATAGCAGAGAGATGGGACGATAGCTCGATGCTTGCTTCAGGTCTTTCCCAGGCTTTGGGATGGCGATCGTTTTGGCCGTTCTCCATATCTTTGGCATGTTGTTTTCTGCAATGATGCGGGTGAGAAATGATGCCAGCCATTTCCTTACAGTCGGACCAGTGTGCTTCAGGAACTCTGTGTGAAGATTGTCATAGCCTGGGGCTTTGCCATGTTTCATGCTCTTGATAGCCTGGTCAGTTTCTGCTACTGTGATCTCGGGAGTTTCTTCCTGTGGGGTCATGGCCCATGACCTTTGGTATTTACGCCATTCCTTGTTGACTTCACTCTTCACATGCTTCTCGATAGGAGCTTTCCCCACCTGGACGAGACGTGCTGCGACGGCATCAGGTTTGACTGCTGGTCTGCTTGGATTGTGTGGTTGCTGGTTCATTCCGGTTTGGCGTATGAGGTTCCAACACTTGCGGCTAGAGTGTGTGAAGTTCATCTCACTTGTAAGCTGTTCCCAGCGAGTGCGTCGCCCATTGTCCAGCGCTTCAATGAGATGGTCCGCGATGTCAGGGTCTTCGGATCGTTGGTATTCGTCCAGGAGTTGTTGGCAATCAGAGTCCAGGCACAGAATGTAGGTGGGCCTGAAGCCTCTGGGGATGTTAGACTTGGCTGCCTTCTGCACTGCACCGAGGAATCTGGTGTAGGCGCTGTCAATTGTAATACCGTTAGTTGGAATGCATGGTACACTTTTCTCTAGCATTTCTGTGAAGTTCTCCCAGTTTGCTTTGCGAAAGTTCCAGCGTGGGATGGGAACGGATTTGGTTACTGGTATGCAAATGCCAATGTTGGTGGTTATTGGTCTGTGCTTGCTTCTAGAAAAATCTTCTAGGACTCTTACAGATGATGGCAGTGGGCGCCCTTGTTGAGAGGTTACCCAGCATAGGTCAGGTGAGTATTCACGATTCCACCTGGCGGAGCGGAAAGATCGCCTTTGCTTGAGGTCGATGACGAGGTAGAGGTTGTGACGAGAGGACCAGTCCACGAGCCAGTCTCCGTTCATGTCTGTTGTCTCATATCCCCAGTTTGCGTGGTGGCTGTTGAAGTCGCCCACATAGATAGCTGGGTGTTCGAGTGCAGGGAGAGATGTTTCGGACCATTTGACTGGAGGGGGCTTGTAGACGTTCACTATCCGGTAGCTTCCCACACGGATAGTGTCGTAAAGCTCTGCCGTTTCTAGAAGTTCCGTGTCTCGGACATAGGTAAGCTCGGCCATGCTGCTTATGTGCCTTTAAGGCCACAAGTTGCTGACTTTGAGCCTGTCTTTGGGAGTGTGTTGCTCGACATGAACTTCTTGGAGACAAATGATGTCAATCTTCTCCTTATGAGCGATATCCGCTAGGCGGCTGAAATGCCCTCGATGTTAAGTTGGAGTATGCGGAGAGCAGTACCAACACCTAGAAAGGGTTGGTCTGCATTTGGCATGTTGCTGCCAGGATCCATAGGATTTGGCATGCGAGCTTGGATCATTAGTTTCCCTAGATAAACTCGTGAGTAGGTTTTAGGTACTCGTGAGTAGATTTTAGGTACTTGCAGGAGGTGCGACGGGGACGCTGATCCAAATACCTCCTATTTCCTCCTATATAGTGTTAACTATTGTGTACAAATGTAAATCAACGCATCTTTGTACATTGTATATGTATATGTATGGACATGATATGTTAATAATGCTCAATTTTCAAGGTACTTGCTCTGTGTGAGTCGGGTTCGTCACATACCAACTGATTGCCTAGCCTCATTTTAAATAAGGTGTTTTTGAGTGGTCGGGCACAACCCGACCACTCTTTGGATCTGTTGCGATTAATCTTTCTTTCTTTCTTTTTTTCTTTTTTTTCCGTACAGCACGTTTCCAAGGGTTTTCTCCTAAACGGTTTATGATAGGAACTTGTAACTTTCAATATATATCGACCCTCATCCTAAGTGGTGCATATTACTCTGACGTCATGATTACGTCATCGGGTGTTAAATTACAAGTGATTTTAGGTGGAAAAGTGACCAATTACTTTCGCCTATAACTCTTGAACTTAATCATCAATGATGTTTGTATTGTGCATTGAGATAGACCATTAACTGCTTAACATTTTTTTTCGCGTACGTAAACTCGCTTGACCCTTACTTCCGGGTCTACCGGAAGGTCAAAGTTAAGTGAATTTAAAATGAAGACGTTAGCCTGAAATAAAAACAAAGCAAAATTTCTACCCAACGATTTACGGTACAATCATAAAAACTTGTGTGAACTTGTACCATGTTACGAAGATGTTAAACATTTTGTTACGTCATCATGACGTCATCAGGTATCAAATTACAAGCGGTTTAAGGGCAAAGTTTGACAAAACAGTTTGTGCTAAATCTTTTGAACTAAATAGAGTATCGTGTTCGTTTTGTCGTGAGGTTGTAGACTATGCCGTGAGAAACATTTCTTGTTCCCGGACACAAAACCGCTTGACCTTTACTTTTGGTGTTACCGGAAGTGCAATGAAAACTGAATATAACGCAAAAGCGGAAGCATTTTACTACAGAAATGTATATTATGAAAGTGTTTAGTGAGAAATGGAAGTCACAAAAACAGTGTGATGACGTCATAGTCCGAAGGGCGCCCCCTATCGGCACATAAAGTTGTGTTTGTTTTCTTTAATCTGAAGAACATTGGTTCCAATTTTACCAAATCGCCCCGTGATTTTCTTTGATCAACCACAGATAACTTAGCAAGGTTTCAAGTTCATGACGTCATCAGACCGGAAGTTACGTCGATGAGAATTTGAAAATGATCATATTTTAAATTGAATTCTATGGTGTGATCCATGTCGTATATCTTCGTAGCCCAAATAACGATACCATAACAATCAATGTTAATATTTTGCTTCCAAATTCTAGTGACGTCATGAAACCAGAAGCTAGGTGTTATAAATACATACAGTTATACTTTTCATATTTGCATACGTTATTTAACTTCACAATAAACATTAATCCAGTCCGAACTAAATCAGTATTCATTTCCCGTTTTTTTTAATAATGACGTCATCAAGCCAGAAATAACTCGTATGTGTACATAAAATGTTTACGGAAATTTAGCACACCGTTAAAGATGTATTTTTCAACAAAATAGTTTATTGTGATGGAAAGGATTTAATTTTGTGATCCTTTGTTGTTACATAAACATATTCATAACTTAACTCGGCAGTGTTTCATGAACAAATTGCCTGCCCGACCACTCTGCGTTTGTAACAACAAACGCGAACCTCTAGTTTATTATTGTTGTTATGACATTGTTTTGTATGTGTATGATTACTGATATTTGGAAAAAATTCTTTGTATTTGTGGCCTATAATTGGAATTGCTAATGAAGGACCATTCGGGGGTGCATGGTCTCAAAGCAGGGAAGTTGTAGGGGTCCGTGTCTTTTGAGAGACTCCGTAGTCTCCGTGTGAGACCATGATTTCATCAGTTCTATTTATAGCGTGTAGCGACATGTCACCACTATTCATCCACATGTAGTGCAAATAGTTCCTTTGAGTAAAAGTAATTATTAAAACAGTTTGGACGCATCAATCCCTGATTCACTTATTTGTAAAATTCTATTAATGTGTGAGAATGTATCCTGTAACTGTTAAAAACACTATTATTAAGCTAATAGTATCAAGAGAGGGGTTGTGTGGCGCATTAATCTACGTGTGTGTTATGCCATCTTGAAAAGTGATGTGCAATATCGTCCTTTTCGGATCAGCTGCCAATGTGTGAGTACATTGAAGAATAGTTTGTGTCCCAAAACCTAGCTTTTGATGAAAATATTCTTAGATCTATCGCATGATTTGTGTCTCATAGTCTCACATTATTATCCCTGATACTATTGGGCAAATCTTAAGTTCATGTGTTGATTGGAAAAAGAGTAATTTAGGGTTCATTTGTCCTCTCGATCTGTTGTAAACTTTTGTGAGTGAATCACATGGTCGTACAAGGTGACTGTTTCATGTCTGTAATTTACAGTGACTGTTGTATGTCTAATCCTAGCTTTGGTTTCTTGCCCCATAAAATATTTTGTGTGATAGGTTGGCGAGTCTGTTGCCATAACACAACCCAGCTTGGCGTTCGGGGAAATTTGTTAGAGAAATTTAAAAGGACATTTATGGAAATTATGAGAAATTAAGTGACATTAAGGACATTTTAATGAAACTCAATTTAACTGAACAGAAATCAAAAGCAATTCAATTAAAGCTGGAGTCCATAATTTGCAGCTATCCAAAAAAGTAACTGGCGTAATTATTGTTGAAAAACATACTGGTTGAAAGATAGTAAGGGGACTAAACTCCCTGTAAAATTATTCTTTCTGGCAAGCTCTCATTTTGAAGAAATCAACGAAAGAAGGCCTTTCCAACGGTGCGTCTTAAGAAGCACCATAGGAAAATTTAAATTAGTAGTTCGTTTTGTTATTCGGCGAAGCACTCGCAAGCATTGACACGACGCACACGCGCGTGCGGTTTGCTATAATTCGTCGGATCAGTGCGCGACATCGCGTATAGCTGCAACCGACTCAGTGAGTACGTGTCTCGGACGCTGAATTCAGGCCCAATTCAAAACATGATTCAGCAACTTTTGATTTGAAATTGAGATCCTAGAATGCTGTTTTTCTCGGAATATACAGCTGAAGCTGAGCTGAAACTTCATCAGGTTAGTTGTTCAGTATCCTTCATTAGATTTTGAACACTTTTGTTGCTTCAAACGAACAAAATGCACAAATTACAAATGATGGACTCTGGCTTTAAACAGGATTGTAATATTGAGTTCAAGATAACAGCATTTTGTACTTAAATTTAAGTTACTTGACAATTGCAGACCATGATAATCCTATAGCCTAGCTCCTGTAACACTGGTTTATTTGTAACACTACTTGCCATTGTGGGAACTGATTGTCATTCATTTAATTCTATACCTTGTTATATCAAATCAGACATCAATTAAAATATTGATATTCCAATCTGAGAAGTGAAACTTTTTGCTTCCGCTTCCAATTATTTTGTTTCTGATTTTGAATTATTGCCTCAGCGTCCTAAACTAATCATTTAGCAGACTTTCCTTCAAGTATCGTGGTGCACATAACACTGCCCCATGGTCTCCGCAATCAGTGCAATCAGTTGACCAATTTATGAAGAAAATAGAAAATTTTACTCAGGCCGTTTTTGGCTGATTGTAAAAATGTATCAGCGAACATGTCTTCTTCTTTTTTTTTAATATTTCCACATAATTTACCGTCAGAAGTCCCCCGGAGTGTCTGCACTAAATGAAACATTTTTCATAACAAATGTTATATGAGTTGAAGGGTACTAAACAAGCTACAAGATGATGCACAGTTTTTAATCTGAAGATATATTTTCGGTTTAGAAAAACAATTTGTTATTGTTTCCCAAAGTACCTACTGTACCCTCTTCTAGTTTTGTGTAGTTATGTACTTGAGTGAAATATCCAGCAAATATGTTGGAAAAAAATATTTTTATCTGCTATAAATTAACTCATTCGATACAACTAAACTAGTTTAGAGCATAATATTCAGGGGTTTTGTTTTTTTGGGGGGGGGGAAATGTCTGGGTCTTAAACCACTGCCTGGATTTCAAATTTTATGGTGGGGTGCAGCGGAATAGCCAGGGTTCTCATCCTAGAGGGCACCCAAAAATTTCATCTGTGCTGAAAGTGGAGTGCTGTGGCCTCGTGGTTAAGGGCACTGATTCGTGGTCTGTGGGTAAAGCTGCAGGTTGTGGGTTCGAGTCCTGGCGGGGTCATGGTGCGTGTGCCCTTGGGCAAGGCACTTTGTCACTCATAGTAAATTCTCTCCACCCAGGAGTAAATGGGTACCTGTGAGGGCAGAGATGGTTATTGTGATTGAATTAGCTTCCTTGCGCCTAACAGGCTGCTTGGGGGGGGGGGGGGGGGGGCCTGCACCATCTTCCCATGGGGGTGCTGTTCGAAACCTATATCATGGTTAATGCTAGACAATAACTACCGCTATTTGCTTTCCATTCGCGAAAAGAAAAGATTTAGGTGAAAAATACACACACAAACGAGGATAAAGGGACTTTATGTTCTTCCGGCTAATCATGGTAGCTCATAAGGCTGTACTTTTCTCCGGATGCCAAATTTTCAGTGGTTGGGCGACTTCTATTTGAGTACGAGTACTTTGATGATCGAGTACAATTTTGTCATGTCAAGTACGAGTGCTTTGCTGCCCTAGTACGAGTACCGTCCTTTTGGAGTACGAGTACTTTAACATTCGAGTACGAGTTCGAGTATGAGTACTCTAAAAAAAAAAAAGTACTTGAGTAGTACTCAAGTATGAGTACGGAGTACGAGTACTACAACACTGGTTAGTTGGAACAAATGTTCTGCACAGCCGCAGCTCAATGAAAGGCGATAAACCGGGGGACAATAGCCGCATGTCTGCTGCATATAGCAGCTCTCGAGATCTCATTCATAGACAATAGCCGTACACATTCCATGCAAAGAGCAACACAAATTCGCTGGGAGTCTGCAGCTTCCGAGATCATATCGAGCTTGATTCTTAACATCAGGTCTTAACAATCAGAAGCTTGTATGCATTTGATGAAACCAACTGTTGCAGTTTTATGCTCAGTATCCCAACAAGTTGGTTTAATTTCTTGTTCAGCTTGTAGCAGTTTGCATCCTTGAATTATATTTCTAGATTAAAAACTTGAAATGATAAATTCCTATTATGATGATGTCCGGCAAGACCCAATACTACAGTTTAATTCACAACACACGAATTGTATGGCTCAATTGCAAAAGTTCTTGTGTTATATGACAATGTTGCTATTTTGTTAACTGTAGTGTTTCTTAACATCACATGCAGTGTATATTCATTTAAAATGTACTGTTTTGCTTCTCTCAACAGCAAGTCATCATGGGAAGCTATGGCTGAGGGTCTTGTCAGCACGCTTAACAGATATGATAAACTAGGAAACCCAGTATCCTTTATTGCTCCTGAAAAAAATGTAACCTTTCAACTGTAACAAAGGTGTATCTTTCATTTGAAATTACCAGATACATGTACCTTAATATCAAATTGTTTTATTGAGTGGTCGGGCACAACCCGATTACTGTCTGGATTTGTTCTCATAAATCTTTCTTTCCTTCCTTCCTTCCTTCCTTGTTTTCCGGACAATACTTCTCTGCGGGTTTACTCCAAAACGGTATATGGTATGAACTGTAACTTTCAATATATATCGACCCTCATTCGAAGTGGTGCATATTACTCTGACGTCATGATTACGTCATCAGGTGTCAAATTACAAGTGATTTTATCTGAAAAAGTGACCAATTACTTTCATCTATAACTCTTGAACTATATAATCAATGATGTTTGTATTCTGTAATCAGATAGACCATTAATTGCTAAACATTTGTTTGTCGTGTACGTAAACTCGCTTGACCTTTACTTCCGGGTCTAGCGGAAGGTCAATGTTAGGTGAATTCAAAATGAAGACGTTAACCTGAGATCGAAACAAAGCACAATTTCTTCCAAAGGGTTTATGGTATTATCACACAACCTTGTGTGAACTTGTAACATGTTACGAAGATGTTATAAATGTTGTTACCTCATCATGACGTCATCAGGTATGGAATTACAAGCGATTTGATTGCACGATTTGACAAAATACTTTGACCTATATCTCTTGAACTAAACTTTTCGTGAGGTTGTAGACAGTGCCTTTAGCAGCATTTCTTATTCCCGGGCACAAAACTGCTTGACCTTTACTTTCGGTGTTACCGGAAGTGCAATAGAAACTGAATCTAACTCTAAAATGGAAGCATTTAACTACAGACAAATATATTATGGAAGTGTTATTAAAGTGAGGAATGCCTATCACAAAAACATAATTTTGACATCATCCCACTAAAGGGCGCCCTCTAGCGGCACATTGAAAACCGTTTAATCTTTTAAAATGTTACAACCCTCAATCAAATTTTTTATGATATATTGCCCCTATATATCCTCTTATGCAACCACAAATGAAGTTGCAAGGTTTCATAATCATGACATCATCAGACCGGAAGTTACTGTAGGGAGAATTCAACAATGATCATTTTATTTTGAATTTAAATCCATCGTTTGACTTTGTTTTTTGCCCCCCAAAAAATGACATCTGTTACACTTAATATTGACCTTTTGCTTCCAAATACTGTGACATCATCAAACTTGAAGTTATCTGTTATTATTACATACACTTAATTTCCATATTTCCATGCGTTATTTTTACTAAATAACAAACAAGTGTCCTCCCTTCCCTTTTTTTGACTGATGACCCCATCAAACCGGAAATAACTTGTACGTGTACCTAACTGTTTACTGAAATTTATCATACCTTAAAAGACGCATTCTTTTTATACAAAATAATTGGTACTGGAAATGTTGAAGTTCTTGGTCCTTTTACTGACATAAACATATTCATAACTTAATTGGACAATGTCTAATAAAATGGTTGTAATACCAGACCACTCTGCGCTTGTAACAACAAACGCGAACCTCTAGTTATTATTATGTCACGTCACATTGAAGGTTCATTTTTCTGAGGCCTATATCTTAAGAACTAAGGTTTCAATTTCAAAGGTCCAATTTGGTTCTAATTTGGTATGCATAAATTATATATGAAAATTTAAGTGCCATTTACACAGTCAGATATCTATGTAATTTACACATCCAACCTTGATGAAACTTCTACATGTGAATACATGCCAGTAGAATGATCATTAAGAAACAGCTCTGTGTTTGTTATTTTTCTTTTTTTTTTTCTTTCTTTTTTTTCTTTAAGCTTGGATTGTACAGACAAGGTGGGTTACTATTTTCTTTTTTGGTTTCCTTATGTACATTGGTGTCCTCCATAATTTGCCTTGGTGCTCTCGATCATTTGCCTTGGTGCAATTTCCCATTCCTTGGTGCTCTTTGGTAAAAAAAAATTGAGGATGTGCGGCTGTTGGAGCTACCGCGGAACATTTTGGGAAAAAAAAAGATTGACGCGCATGATTAAAATCGACGCGCGCGCTGACCAGAGACCGACTTATTTTTTTTTTTGGCCTAATGGTACTAGTGTGCAAAGTCCGAAGTGACGTCACGATGACATCATCGTTTGATTTTTTAAATTTTTTTAATATTTATAATTTTATTCTGCTTCCAAAATTGCACACTTTCTTTTAATCGGATTGACTTTAAATGTGGTTCAAACCAAGACCACAATACAAAATAGGAATTGAGAAGGGTTTTCAAGATGACGTCATTGCAGGGCATGTGACGTCATGTGATAACATTATATTTTAGGAATTATTCTAAGCAATTTGAACAACCTTTAACTGCATGAAGCACTCTGAAAATCGACTGCAAAAGGACCAACAAAACATAAAAATTTTTGAAGTCCTATATCTACAGAACAGTAAGTCTGATTGGGTTGAAAATTCGTGCGATTTTCTATGAATATTTTAATTTGTGGACCTTTTAGCCATATCTCACGAACGCAACATGCAAAATTCAAAAAAAAATTTATATTTGGTTTGTTAGGTAATAGGTATTTGCATAAAATTTTGAAAAATGTGTGACGTCATCATAATCATAATGAACATGCCATTTGGCCCCCAAAATAGTAAATTCTTTTATAATGCACAATCACTATAACGAACAACCACTATAAGGAATTATTCTTTATGGACCCCATGGTGTTCATTGTAACTGTGTTCTACTGTATTAACATGGACTGAGTAAGATAAAATTTGTGAATTCATATTTTTATGATTTAATCACCATTTTCTTAACCTGCTTCGTACGTGTTCAGTATGTATCATTAGCTAATTTAGCTGTGATCCGAGGTGATGCAAATCTCTTTTCCTTCAAGACTGTTGAAAGAAAATTAAAAGCAGGCTACAATTGCATCAGATGGAATCCATTTCCAGTTGACTTCTGGACAGGTATATTTTGTTGTTATCGAAATCATTTCCCTTGCACCAGATGCTTGCCTCTAACAGAATGTGCTGCCATAAGTGTGGCTTTTTGATAGAGTATTCATGGCTCAACATGTAGCTGGATGTATCATCGAGACCTCTGGTTACTCACAGGGTAGTCTTGGTCCACTAAGTCATAGACCACACCTCATACAGTGCCATGGCTCTGTTTTTCACAGGTCACAACCATGGATGTCAATCAGTGGAGGGGGCACCATGTCCCCCCACTTTTTAAAGTGTGGGGGGATATCGTATCCTTTGTCCCCCCCCCCCCCCTCTTTGTTTGTCCCTGAATATGAATTTTATTCTGTAGTTCAGGATAGCTGATTCAGTGACTCCAAACTCAAAAGGATGTATACTTGATGATCTTTTGCTCACAAAAAATTGGTCACAGTGGTCAGAACTTGCCTCAGATTGCAACACAGAGCCTCTAGAATCCAAAATTTTGCATGCCATAAGGACTTCGCGCATCTCACTCGCATTACTTCTGATCAAGGTATGTTTCCCCCCCCCCCTCCCCACTTTTGAGAAGCGATTTACCAGGCCCGGATTAAGTGTTTCGTAGGCCTTAGGCACCAGTGTTCCATAGGCCCTACTCCCCCAAAGCACTGTAAAAATCAAGCCAGGACAAACTGGTATAGGTCCTAGCTCTAAACGCCCGTTGGCACCAAGGGCGTTAATTGCTTCTCAAAAGTGGGAGTGGTACATGTCTATCTTGATCAGAAATGATCAGAAATAATCATGCTAATGCAGTTCGAAGCCTAAACGGCGTTTGGTTCGGGGCCCGCTTAAGGGCCCCGAAAAAAATAACGATTCTAGATGCTCTGTGGCGTGATCTGAGGCAACTTCTAACTACTGGCAAGGTTTTAGCAAAAAAAATCATCATATCATGTAAACATCATTTTCGAGTTTGGAGTATTTGAATAAGCTATTCTGTTACGAGAATCAAAAGCTACAGAATCCAATGCGGTAGGCTACATTTTTTATTCAAGGACAAAGAAATAGTTGGGGGGTATTTTCATAGGCCCCCGAATCTTTTGTAGGCCCCCCGAATTTTTCATAGGCCCCAAGTTTTTCGTAGGCCCTAGGCACAGTGCCTACTGTGCCTATTGGATAATCAGGGGCTGCGATTGATGCCCTTGGTCACAACTTTTTTAAATGAAACATTCAACAGGACAAAAATACTGGCTAAGGCCAAAAAAAAAGGCTGCGGTTTCTCATCTGTGCGCGAGTTGCCGTAGCCATGTGGGTCGGCAAAATTTTTTCAATGTAAGATGATGTCTCAAAACCGCCAAACTCACTGGTTCTACTAAAATCCTGCTGTTGCACAATTTTAACGTGTTTTTAGATGGGGTTATGATCGAGTATAAGCTTTATGTGGCCTCTCTGGGCTCCCATATATTTTGCACTAAATTTTAGGCAGGCACCATTTGCAGTCATCAGCCGACATTTGAAGAAAAAAAAGCCGCGTCGCCACACCACTTTTGGGGCAAGCTCCATAGGGGGGGGGGGGGGGGCCTCATTCTGATGCCTAAAATTAATTTCATCCATATGCATTATGAGAAGGTGCAGAACAAAATTAATAGAAGGTATTAGCTCTGCTTATTAAAGGCAAGCAAATACTGCCAAATCCTTTGTTTTTTTTATGTTGTGTATTTTTTCAAAGTAAATTTTATGTCTAGAGTTAATCTTTGCCCCAGCTTTTGTTTTACATTGTCAAGTTTGAACATGTGGGTATCAAATGGCAGCCGCCAACTTGGAAGTTCTTTGATCGATGATGTGACATAGACAGCATTTTACCTCTTGCACATTTTTATGTCATAAGTGAAGTAGCTAGCGTAGCCTTTTTCAGCTTTTTCTTTTTCACCAGTTGAAGTGCATACAAACTGAAGAAATGCCTTCTGATCTGTATTTTATTTTACAGTGCTTTTCTTCATGATATGGGCTAGGTCATTGATTCAAAATGATTTTGCTATAATTTCAGCCAAATGATTACAATTAATCGATTAATAGATTATTGAATTTCGATAATCAGACACCATTAGTGTTTGGTAATTATGTTTGATTTTTGGTTGGCACAGGGTCTTAACACTCTACTCTGCATTCAGATGTATGGGAAAGATTTCCAAAGGCTGTGGAGAAAGAAATCCATTGTTTGGTGTTTGACAAAACTTTGAAAAAAAATGTATTGGCCTTTGTTTATATTGTGTGTGGTCTTTTTAACAATTTTAAACAGCTTTTAGCAAAATGTTTCATGAAAGTGGAATCGGTTTTACTTTTTGCTGAAAATAATTTGGTTTGTTTCATTTCTAGGGATGGAAAATCTGGTTGGATCAGCTGAACAATCTTTGACAGTTTGTGCAAATACCAACAGTTGTGCTGAATTAGCTCAATGTTTTCTCTCAAAAGCCAAAGTGATGCACAATTCAAGAGCTTATCTACACTGGTACGAACGATGGGGATGTGATGAGGTATTATTGTATTGTCTGTCTTAAGTAATATTTGTTAGTAATCCTTTCTGAAGGGTTACTTTTATGGAACAGAATATTATTTAGTTAGGATTTTTAAAAAGGCTTAATTTATGGTCACTGTTTTGGTTTATAACAAGTTGAAAATGTCAAAAACAGAATATTTCATCCCACCTAGGAGCATACCCACTTTTCAAGAATATTGGTGAATGAAACCAATTTCTTTTGTTCCTGTGTATTTACATAAGATAATGTAAATTTTCACAAAAACAGTTTGATTTGTGGCTGTTTCGGCACATTTGTCAAAACAGCCTTTGTTTTCAAAATTTTAATTTTTTTGGTTGTTTCGGCACATTTTTTCATATAGATGTTTTTTTGGGCTGTTTCAGCAAGCTTGCCAAAACAGCCTTTGTTTTCGTTAATTTTTTTTTTCTTTTTCGCTTAGAAGCAGAAAAGCATTGTTTTTGTTCTGATTTTTGCTTTTCAAGCGCATTGTTTCTGTTCTGATTTTTGGGCTTTTCCGCAGAAAGCCTTTCTTTTTGTGCTGGTTTTTCTTTCTTCTTCTTCGTCTTCTTCTTCTTCTTCTTGAGTGGTCGGGCACAACCCGACCATTCTTTGGATCTGTTACGATTAATCTTTCTTTCTTTCTTTCTTTCTATTTTTTTCCGGACAATACTTCTCCGCGAGTTTTCTCCTAAACGGTATATGGTATGAACTTGTAACTTTAAATACATATATCGACCCTCATCCGAAGTGGTGCATATTACTCTGATGTCGTGATTGCGTCATCAGGTGTCAAATTACAAGTGATTTTAGTTGGAAAAGTGACCAATTACTTTCACTTATTCTGTAATGAGATTTATAACATTTTTTGTCCTGTACATAAACTTGCTTGACCTTTACTTCCGGGTCTACCGGAAGGTCAAAGTTAGATGAATTCAAAATGAAGACGTTAGCCTGAAATAAAAACAAAGCAAAATTTCTTCCAAACGGTTTACGGTACAATCACAAAACCTTGTGTGAACTTGTACCATGTAACGAAGATGTTATACATTTTGTTACGTCAGCATGACGTTTCGTGATGCTTTGTTCTTACATCGACGTATTCATAACTTTACTCGGCAGTGTTTCATGAAATAAATTGCCTACCCGACCACTCTGCGTTTGTATCAACAAACGCAAACCTCTAGTTGAGTGGTCGGGCACAACCCGACCACTGTCTATAATTGTTCCTTCTTTTTTTTTTTTCCGGACAATACTTCTCCGCGGGTTTTCTCTTAAACGGTATATGGTATGAACTTGTAACTTTCAATATATATCGACCCTCATCCGAAGTGGTGCATATTACTCTGACGTCATGATTACGTCATCAGGTGTCAAATTACAAGTGATTTTATCTTAAAAAGTGACCAATTACTTTCACCTATAACTCTTGAAATAAACATTCAATGATGTTTGTATTCTGTAATCAGTTTTTGTCAAGTACGTGAACTACGGGTCTACCGGAAGGTCAAAGTTAGGTGAATTCCAAAAGCAACATTTCTTCCGAACGGTTCACGGTATGATCACAAAACCTTGTGTGAACTTGTACCATGTTACGAAGACGTTATAAATTTTGTTACATCATCATGACGTCATCAGGTATCAAATTACAAGCGATTTAAGGGCAAATTTTGACAAAATAGTTTGCGTTATATCTTTTGAACTAAATAGAGTATCGTGTTCGTTTTTTTCGTGAGGTTGTAGACTATGCCGTGAGAAACATTTCGTGTTCCTGGACGCAAAACAGCTTGACCTTTACTTGTGCAATAAAAACTGAATATAACTCAAAAGTGGAAGCATTTTACTACAGACATATATGTTATGAAAGTGTTTAGTGAGGAATGCAAGATGCAAAAAACAGTGTGATGACGTCAACATCCGAAAGGGCGCCCCCTATCGGCACATAAAGTAGAGTTTCCCTACTTTAATTTTAAAACCATCCGTCCAAATTTTACCAAATCGCCCCTTGATATTCTCTGATTAACCACAGATAACTTGGTAAGGTTTCAAATTCATGAGGCCATCAGGCCGGAAGTTACTTAAAGGAGAATTTGAAAAGGATCATAGTTTTAATTTAGAAAGCGTCTCAAAAGTCGGAACGGCAACGTTCCGTTGGACCGTTCCATCGGACCGTTCCGCCGGAACGGTCTGTGTGCCCGTCAGAACGGAGACCGTTCCATCGGACCGTTCCACCGGAACGGTCCAGCCCGGTCCATTGGACCGTTCCGCTGGGCACATATGCCTAGCGGAACGTTCCGCTGGGAACGGGAACAGTCCAATGGGAATGTCTGTAATTGGGTATCATGCGTCCAACTACAAATTGTTTTCTTTGAGAATTCATCG